AGTAATAATTAATTATTAATAATGTGTCCTATCTTGCTTGTATAAGGACGGTACCACAACACACATGCACTGTCTATGTTTTTTAAGTTCTAATGTGGCACTTTTCCTAAGTTGTGTGGACGTACCATACTTAAAAAGCCCCATGATGATGATGATGATGATGATAATTATGTTTGCTACTCATAATGTTCTACGGAGTACTATTTACTTTGTCCTTTTTTTATCATATTGATTGGCTGAGTTTTTTGGACGGCAGTCTGCAGCTGTGGGGTTATACTTGCACCATGAAACCCATACAAAATGAATTTGTAGTAATCAATTCATTCGAGTTGGGAAATGACACACACCTTTTGCTTTGGTGTCCTTTAATTTGCAATGTGTAATGACGGGCTTGGCGCGAATTTGATGGAGGTACTATTCTTTTGAGTTAAAATTTTAGAGTCACACGAATGTTATGAAAATTTGGAACAAGTTTGGAAAATGTTAGAGGAATTGAAATGTTATAAAGTCACTCAATTGCCTCCATTCATGCTATATTCAGAAGCATATGAATGATGAACTTTTTCTCTCCCAAACTACAGAATTGCTTTGCCTTCCAAATAGCCAGCAACCACAAGCATAACCACCGATCCGAGTTCTTTCCTCGAGTTGGGTTGACAAATAGCGTTCGTTGGAACTTGGAACCATTCCCAAAAAGAGCCAAAGGTAGTGCGATCACTCCCGGCCATTTCCCAACAAATGCCACGCATGATCTAAACCGCACACCTAACACAAACAATCAACCCTCATCCATTATTATTATTATTATTATTGTTGTTGTTGTTATTGATGCGATTTAGCACAACGACTATGCTGACACGAAGAAATTGAATGTTATAAGATGAAATATAACTCTTGTATTTGTGTATTAACATGGGTTACAATGGAGGAGTTACTTCCTATTTATAGTCTAACATTTTCATATACATGATATGTAATTCGTGCGCTACAATATAAGGCTGATTGGCTAGTTGTGCACCAATTGTGGGCGAGGAATCAGTTGTCAATTATCCACGATCGGCCCGATCTACTACCTCTAGCTATGAGCACCAAGTGCTTCACTTTTATTGGGCTGTCGCAACGGGATTCTCAGGCCTTCTTCGGCCCAATGGCCAACCCGTTATCCATCAATTATTATCATCATCATCATCATCATCATCATCATCATCATCATATTTTTCACTTATTATTATTATTATTATTATCTCAATAAAACAAAAAAATTGATCTCATGTCACAATCTATTTAAACAAATTGTCATTGAAATAAATTTTAGTTATTAATTACCATTATAGAGTCGATGTAAAGTAAAAAAAACCTTAAGTTAAATAATTTCTTATTTCCTTTGTGATCTTGAAATCTTTTTTACTATATTACTTTGAAATGTGTTTTAGTCAACGTTTTAAAATTTTGACCAAAATAAGTGTATACCTTATTTTCTTTTATTAAGCATTACATAACTTTTAAATGTGCATACTATTTTTAACATTGTGCACATTCTTTTTTTTTAAACAAAAAAAAATATTGTGCACATTCTATGCATATGCGAAAAATAAATGTTCATACATCAATTTAATAAAATGAATGCTCTAAAGTAGGAGTATATGCAAAAAAATAATTATTTTGTGAAATTAATGTTGTTAAATTTTTAAATGTACATATGACTTTGTCCTATTGTTTCATTAGTCTCCTTATTTTTGTCACACGAATTAGTGACATAAAGATTGAGAAATCAAAATTTATATGATTGATATTAATTTTAAAATTAAAGAAAGAGTGCGAATAACACAAAAATTACTAACATGGCTTGAGATAAAATATAATGTCATTGAAGAAAATAAAAGAGATAAATCATTTTATCTTGTTCTTTAGAACTGGATAAAACAACTAGATGTTGGAAGAAACTGGAAGGAATTGGAAGAATTGGAAGGAACTAAAAAGAATTGGAAGGAACTAAAAAGAACAGGACGAAACTGAAAAAACTTTAAAAAATTGGAAAATTAAACCTAAAAAAACTTTAAAAAAAATTAGTGTGTTTTTTTAGTATTCTCATTCCAATTCTTGTTGTTATAAATTATTATTATTATTATCATCATCATCATCATCATCACGTTATTTTAATAAATGTCTTTAAGATAAAAAAGTATTTTTATTTTTCATAAACAAAAAAACTTGTTTTTCAAAAAAATAAATATAATATAAAGTTAGCATAAATATCAAAATGTTAAATTTTAAAATTTTAAAAAATAAATATAATATAAAGTTAGCATAAATATTAAAATGCAGTATTTATTATAAATAATATATTTGTAATCATACTTTATATATTACAAGATCTTGTTTTAAATAACAGACATGTCACATAATGTAATCAAACCTATTTTTTTCTTGCATGATTGACATTTTTTTCATTGTAACTCCTATTTTTAGAATAGAGGCATAAAACTTTTTTTAAAATTTTTTATGTTTTACTCCTATTTTAGTTTTTTTCTCTAAACTATTTTGACTTTCAATTTTTTTTTTATAAATATTAGAAAAATAATAAAATTTGAGTAATAAAGGGAAAGGTACGGTGAGGGGTCTTATATAAAGTTTAATAAAACGTTCTATATAACTATTTTATCCATAAATTTGTAATATAGTATAACATATTAATGTTTTCTTGTTTTATCACGTAGATTAGTATACAAAAAAATTTTCTTATTCATACTAAAAAGTTGAAGAAAAAACAATGAGTGCGGATCGTAAAAATAGTGAAATGAAAAAATAATTTATAAGTTATAGTTATGAACATAACAGTTGTAATAATAAAAAATAATTATGTTAAAAAAATATTGTTTTTAGAATAATTAGATGGGGAGTAGAAATATTTTGAAGAAAATTAGAATAGTGGTAAGAAACTGGAATGAACTGGAAGAAAATGTAAGAAATTGGAAAGAATTGAAAGTTAAGACTTGAAAACATAAAGGACAAGCTCTTAATATCATAGTGAAAGTTAAATACTCCGTATAGTAGCATTCTTCATTCTTCAAAAAAAAAAAAGTTGTAGCATAGTTCAAATAAATTATATTGGCCTGGGTATAGTAGTACTCCACGAATTGAAATTACCAAACAAAAACGACAATTCAAAAACATAAGAAACGCGGCAACCTCTGTAATGTTTTATTGTCCGAATGCGAATTAGTTAAAAAAAATTAACCATGCCTAGGGTCACCAAAAAATATACTCTAAAGAAATGTATCAACATTTTAATTTTTAATGGTATACATTGGTACAAAATGTTAGTTCAATTTAAAAAATTTGTACTGATATTTTTTTGTCAAAGTAAACTAGCACACTAGCATCATACTAACACAAAATGTCGATACGTGCTTTTGAGACACAATATCGTGTACAAATTTTGATGTACAAATAATTTAATACAGAAACAAACCAACACCGCAAGTGAATTGAAGTAGAAAAAGACAAAGTAACTCTACTTCCAAAAAAATCTTACGTTGATACATAACATCATTCCCTACCTCCAATCTTTACTGTCTCTTTAGAGTGTAAAAATAAATTGAGTTTTTGTTACCTTGCTTCTCCAACCGTACCTCACCACATGCCTGCAGTCTTTGCATTCTTTGTCCCTGTCTCATCTCTTTAGGTTAAATACAAAAAAAGGTGGAATGCCCACACCGTCCCCCACTCTGGCCGGACATATTAGTGGAGGGTAAATTACGATATATTCTTAGTAAGACCCGAAAGATTAGTATGACCCTCTGAGAGGTAGACCACCTATGTTGACCAACGGTGGCACTTAGGCGACTGGAGGCGGAGCTACAGTGGTAGTGGGTCGTGGCAGGTGGTAGTGGGTCGTGGCAGTGTGACATAGCAATGTGAACTATATATAGGTCACAAAAAAGAGTGTTACTTTGACATGGGTAAAAAAAGAGTGCTATTTGTATGGGTGTTCTCCCATCTAAATATGTGTTTAAATATGTGTTTGACAATGTAAATAGTAACAGTATAATTAATGATAATATAATAGCGTGAATGATGTTAGTGTGATTGTGGAGTGTGATCGCCGCCAAACCAATGATCAAAAGGCCAGGATCCTCCCACCACTTGAACCCTCAACATCTTACCGTTCCTTCCTTTGCCATCATTAACCTACGTACCCCGGGTGGTGGTATGTTTCTTCGTTTTATTCTTCGTTGGAAATGTATATATAGGCCGGCCCGAACCCATTATTTGATAGAAATATTTGCACGAAATAGCACTAAAACTTAATTCATTTCTCTAAATAGCACACACCACTTTTGCTCGCCTACCACTTCCCTTTCTTAGTATTTGTTTAGTCTTGATTCATTACAGTCAATCATTTTCAGTGTTTGACCTATAATAAAATAAAATATATATTGTATATTAAATTATTAATTAGATAAAATAATATTTTGAAAATGTTTTAAGAAATGAATCTAGTCGAGTAAAAAATTAAAATTCAAACATAATAAATACAAGGCGAACGTGCAGCACGCAACGCTGCTAGACTTTTTTGAATAGCCAAACTAAATCTTCTCGATCTAATAAAATGATTTTTTAAAATATAAAAATACGGAGCATAAAAAATAAACAAATACTCGGAGACTCAAGAAAATAAAGGAATGCACCTTGATCACCTTCGACATGTGGGGGGAGGGGCCGGCACTCATTTTTCACTAAAAACACATTTCTCTCTCTAGATTCTCAGTCAAGAACTACCTCTCTACTTAACCGGGATTTGTATAGTCCATTAAGCTAAGCCCATATCTATTGAGGCTTTGGAGGCTTGGAGCAGATGTCTACTGAATTCTCTTAATTAAGCTAGTCTTCATACTTAGGGGCTGTTTGGCAACTTCTGAATGGGTAAGTGCTGAACCAGTAAGAGGTCTGAACCATTAAGTGCTGAACCAGTAAGAGGTCTGAACCATTAAGAGCTAGTATATTGTTTAACTATTCAGAGGTAAATGTCTGATCAATTCAGATAAGAGCTCTTAACCATTCAGACTCTGTATAATACTTAACCATTCAGAGCCAAATCTCTTAACCATTCAGACATCTGAACCATTAAGAGACTGAAACAAACAGTCTGAACCATTAAGTGCTGAATCATTCAGACATCTGAATCATTAAGAGGCTGAAACAAACAGCCCCTTAGACCCATTATTAGTGCCATTGAAATGGAAACCGAGATACAAAACTTTAAAAAAAAAACCAAATTATAAACAATCATCCTACGTGTGCACCAAGGTTTGTACACCATATATATGTGCACCAACACTTTGATGGTTCACAATGACCCAAAATGTTAGTGGGATTATAAAAATTTTGCACTTACACTATGTGCAGTGAGAACCATCAGTGAACTATCAGAGTGTGGAAGTACACGTACAATTTAGGGAATAACTCATAGTATAATGGTAACTTTATTCTATTAAGAAAACATAAAATAGAAGTAGGAGGGGGGGGGGGACCTACATGGTGTAGCTAAAAACTAAGCCAATGTTCCAATGTGGAACAATAAACTAAGCCAACACATGGTGGCCCAAGCTATGCCATGAACTCAAATCATGTTGGTGAGTGAGTGTGGTGGTTTAATTAGTCATCATCCTCCTCGTTCTTTCATCTCCTCTACGTACCTTTGTCTTCCTATGCATTTTGTTTGGGTGCCAGTCATGACAACTCACACCACTCTCTAATTTATGTTTACTAGTTTGGTTCCTAGTGGACAACTCACACCATTGTCCCCTATGTATGTGTATATATAAACCCTCTCAAAAACCATTCTTCTTCACTACTCATCATATACCCCCCCATTACTTTTAATTTGTTAATAAAAATATAATTTTAAGATTTTACAAACCACCAAACACGCCCCAAATGGTCAACCAAGAATGCCACATCCTCCCTAACCCCTTGGTTTTCAACGCCGCCGTCCTCCAACACCAACAAAACATCCCCACTCAGTTCATATGGCCGGACGACGAGAAGCCCGCCGCCGAGGCCCCGCACCTCCCCGTCCCCCTCGTCGACCTCTCCGGCTTCCTCTCCGGCGACCCCGCCGCCGCCCTGGAGGCCGCCACGCTCGTGGGGGAGTCCTGCAAGAAACACGGCTTCTTCCTCGTCTCCAACCACGGCGTCGACCCCGGCCTCATCTCCGCCGCCCACCGCTGCATGGACCACTTCTTCGAGCTCCCCCTCCCCGAGAAGCAGAAGGCCAGGCGGCTCCTCGGCGAGCATTGCGGCTACGCCAGCAGCTTCACCGGACGGTTCTCATCCAAGTTGCCGTGGAAGGAGACTCTCTCTTTTAGCTTCTCCGCCGAGAAAAGCTCCCAAAACACCGTCCAACAGTACTTCCGGTCAACTCTCGGTGAAAATTTCGCCCACACCGGGTACGTTTGCTTAACTTCATATATACTCCCTCGGTCCCATGAAACCTTTCTCCTTTCTTTTTTATCCGTCCGACAAAACACTTCTCATTTCTATTAAAAAGTCACTTTTACCCCTTACTTTTTCATACCCTAACTATCACATCATACCTTTTTACTAATAATCTATCCATCAAATCATACTTTTACTCATCACATTAAATGACATTTTTGGAAATTCAATACCAAAATACACTCCCCTTAAATCCCTCCTAAAAAGCAAAAGTCTCATGTTTCATGGGACGGTGGGAGTAGTTATTATGGGTTTATAAATAGAAATATTTTTACTAAAGAACACTAAAACTTGGGTCATTTCCTTAAATAGTACTTAAAATGTTTTATTCTCTAAATAGACTTAATAATGTCTATAATATCCAGTGATGACGAACATTTACTTGAATAATGACTAAAAGTGCTACATTGGGAAAAAATGCATGTGATACTATTTAGAAAAAATCAATATGTTTTAGTGTTATTGGTAAATTCCCCTTATATATATTCTGGTACAATTTGATAATAATTGTTAGTCATATACTGTATATTACAGGGAGATATATCAAGAATATTGCAATGCAATGAACACCCTTTCACTAGGGATATTGGAACTATTGGGGATGAGCCTAGGGGTGAACAGGGAGGAGTTGAGGCGATTCTACGAAGACAACGAGTCGATAGTGAGACTGAACTACTACCCGCGGTGCCAGAAACCCGAGCTGACCCTCGGGACCGGGCCCCACTGCGACCCGACGTCGCTCACCATCCTCCACCAGGACACGGTGGGGGGGCTCCAAGTCCTCGTCGACAACGAGTGGCGCACCGTGGCCCCTGTCCCCAACACATTCGTCATCAACATCGGCGACACTTTCATGGTACGTGTGACGATACATGCGCACATTTTGTCCCTATTAACTATTAACATGTCACTAAAAATATACACATTTTGAATAATGTTGCGACAACAGGCGCTGACGAACGGGAGGTACAAGAGTTGTCTGCACCGGGCGGTGGTGAACAACAAGAGTGCGAGGAAGTCGCTGGCGTTCTTTTTGTGCCCGAGGAAGGAGAAGGTGGTGCGGCCGCCGGAGGGACTGGTGGACTCGGAGAACCCTAGACTCTACCCAGATTTCACATGGCAGACATTTCTTGAGTTCACCCAGAAGCACTATAGGGCTGATACCAACACTCTTCAGTCCTTCTCCACTTGGCTCCAAACCAACAACAAATAAATAAATAAATAAATAAATAAATAAATGAACGTTACATCTTAATTAATTAATTAGTATATTCATCGGTTGATTATATTGATGATTATATTAATGGATGGAGTTTTAAAAAAAATAAGATGGAAAAAATCTAGGAGTGGATTGAGTTGAAGAAATTGAGACATAAATTGTCACATTATATTGGACGAGAATGAGGAGAGAGCTATAAATTATTGTGGGATTGAAATTTAATTATGGAATGGAAGAGAGAGCTGAAAATAATAATGTGTGTAGCTCCCCACATGTTTTTTTATTTATTTATTTGTTTTTATGTTTTTATGTTTTTTTAATTAAATTATTGAGTAATTTTTATTCCCATCCCGGCGTCGACCACCTTGACTGATTGGTTTTGTAAGCATACATATGTTGAGTGTACGAAATGGACGAACCTATGGATTAATTATATTCCTTTTCTTGTTTGTAAATTTGCAATGTGACCGTTTTTTAAACCTTTAATTAATTGTGTTAAAATTTGAATATTGAAAAAAAACAAATTAAATTACATGTTTAGGATTGAACAAAAATTGTTAAAATCAATGCAAATAATGTTCCTAAATAGACGTGAAATATGGACTAAGTATTTAGAATTTCAATTCAATTCTAATATCTAAAACAAACAAATAATTAACGTTGATAATTTTTCAGTTTTAGCTCAAGGGACGAATTGTATGGAATTATTGGAATATAAGTACGTATTGTCACAATTTTTGACATTTTATTTTTTTTTGTTATGTCACTCGTTTCGATTTTTTTTAATAAGTGTAAAATGAGTAACTGTTGTTATTATTATTATACTCGGTAACATGACAATTAATACGACAAGAACATAGAATGGGTCGAAAGTTTAAAAGACAGAAACAAAACCTCACGTGAAATAGAAAAGGCCAAACAAATTAAAAAGAGGTAAAAAAAAATGCAAAACAAAAAAAAAGGAAGTAAAAAACAAGAGGAATCCAGGAGATCGAGCATCAGAGGGGGGAAGTGTACAAAAAATTAATATGCACAATTCAGAAATAGTACTGATAAATACGGAGTAAAAGTAGAATCCAATAGTAAATTTGATTCTTTAGAGATTATTTGCTTGCATGCATGCAGTAGATTTTTTTTTTGTTTTACTCATGGCATGCATTATTTAATTTGGAAGGTTGCGGTAATTTTGAAAGTAACTTTCATATACTCCAAGAGAGATTATTGGCCTGTAGTTACCCACTACGTACTAGTCTGCAGTCCTTATATACACATAATGCACCTTTGATTTGGATGCGGCGAACACTAAAAAATCTATTGAAAAAATGGGAAATGTTTCTTTGTAAAAATGTGGTTGAATTTTATTAAAAATATATAGAGATTCTCATATTTATTTTCTAAAAAAGAAAGTTTTGAAAACAAAAAGTTAATGATTAATTAATTGGTAAGGCGACGTGTGTTAAGAGCAGAGTGAAAAGAGGTTCAAGCTCGAAGAAAATTTTGAGATTAGCACACATATGATTTATAAGCAAGTCGGGTATTTAAAATCAAAGCAAAATCGTCGTGCAATTAAGGACACTGTATTACACAAAATATGGAGATAAAAATTTATAAGAAAAATTGAGCTCACACCAAATTTGACTTTCTTTGACTTAGTGAACTTGAAATCTTTAGAAAAACCAAACACACCCTATAACATCTATTTATTTGTTGTGTGACCTGATTTCTAACAATTCACAAATAATTAAATGTCATCTTGTTATCATCAGACTTTCCTTTTATCTTAGTGTACAACAAAATTTGGAAGTATTTTGGCTTGCAACATTGAGAGATGTAAGATACTCCATCCGTTCTAAAAAACACTTCCTCTTTTATTTTTTCCACTTCCAACAAAACACTTCCCCTTTCTATTAAAAAACCACTTTTACCCTTACTTTTCCATACCCTACCTATCACATTATACTTTTTCTCTAATAATCTATCCATCACATCTTACTTTTACCCATCACATCAGAGGCAAAATTGGAAATCAACTATAATTTAACACTTCATTAGTTTTGCCCCCAAATCAAATGGGAAGGATTTTTCCAAACGGAGGGAGTATGTTATAAAGGAATAGGAAGCTTGGACTTCTCATTTTATTTCTTCATGAATTAAGTCCATAAGTTTGGCTAATCATTGGGAAATGATTCATTAATAAGATGTTTCCGAGATGAGATTGTGATCTGAGTTCATCAGTCACATTGAAAGTGAATAGAAAGAGCCTAACACCATTAAATTGTCCAAAATGTTCATTCAATTTTGGCCAGATTTTAGCCGGCCACTAAATTCACCTATAAAACACAATATACAATACTCGTACTCAGAGCATTTTAATATCCAAGAAGTAATCATGTCCTTACATTGAGGAAGTCTTTGTTTCCGACAAGACATTTTTCCTCAATGGTTTACATTTCTTTCTCACTTCCATTTATTTGGGTCTTAACCCATAATTCTAATGCAACTATATATAATTCATAAACAATATAATTGGGTTGTTGACTCCTTTAATTTAGCAAAACTTTTGGTTCACCAAGGCATGCAGGCTTTGTTCTTCTGACGTGGACTTCAATTTTGGTATGACCTAGCTATATCCCATTTGGTTTAATTTAATTAATTCAACTTGTGTTTTCACTTTTCAGGACAGGTTAGTATTTGCATTCTAACTTTTAAATCATAACTCTAGTTTTTAAATACTGTATTTTTTCGGAAAGAATGGAAACAATTGGTTGCTTTGAAACACCTACGGTACTATGTTTGTAAAATTGATAAGTTTTACTTTCCTTAAGTCTACAAGAAATCACTTTAAATAGAAGTAATGTTGAATAATACAGCGGGAAAAATAAAAATAAAATAATCCGAACTTATAAAACGTTCGGATTTTACAACAAAATAAAAGAAAGTAAAACTTGGAGTCTTCGGGAGCTCGAACGGACTTTTCTTCGGACGGAGAACAAAGAGTCGCCGGAGATGTTTCTTGAACCGTAGGTAAGGAAAGCGGAGTCGCCGAAGCTTTCCTTAAGGTAGTATTGCCCGCCTCCCACACTGGCTAACGTGGGCAATCTCCTCCCAGGATAAAACCGCTTCGTGCTAGGTCTAGAGCGGTAGAACAAAGCACCGGCGAACGAGAACGACGAGAGTTATAGCCGGAGAAGGTGATCCGAAACGGGAGATGGACGGAAACTTGTAACGCAGAGAGAGAGAGAGAGTTTTTCGAGTGTACTGGTGTATCTCATCTCTGCGGCCAACCCCCCCTTATATAGGAGAGGAAGTTGGCTCTTCGTAGGACCGTCGGACATTACGAAGAGTCGAGTGACTCTTCGTCCGTAATGCATGCATGCTTCAATCCTTTGGACGGCACTTCGTAATTTACGAAGTGTCCACGCGTGTTTAACTCGGTCTCGTAAAAAATTAGCCGCGCCCCGCCCCGCCCCGCCCTGCCGCGACGCGTCGCGCGCGCGTGCCGAGCCGGACAATTTAATACCTAAGCTTAAATATGAGAATACGAAAGGTTTAGAAACCGGTGTGGGACAAAGGCTTTTACTCTACCTTGGTATTCAACTTTGAGAATTAATTTCTCATTCACCCGAGCACCGTTTATAGCGTGTAATATGTCAAGACGTTCGTCTTACTTACGAGATTAATCGTCCATAATTATTTTGGAAAATAATTTTGTGGACCCAACCGAATTTATGTCCGAAAACGTCCAATTTACTTTAATATTTCCAACAAGTAAATCATAGAGAAAGTATCAAAATAAAAGTTCTATGCTTTTATTTCTAAAATAAAAGTTTGCATTGTGGTAATGTGAGTTATGTGACACTGTATATGAATATTTTACAATACTTTTTAGTACGGAGTAATATATATGGCGATCTTTGGCATTGTAAATGCATTTTAATTTCTATTTTGAAAATAAAAACATAAAAATCCTATTTTGGTATATTTTCTATTTTTACTTCTATTTTAGTCTTTTTCGCAACCCCACCAGTAAACTACACCACACACTCCTGACCCTAATCCATATCTCACCCACATAAATTGCGAAATGCAAATTTAGTTGACTTTAGAATAATTGGAATTTTTTTATGATATTGTCCTCTAGTTTTCATCATATGAACAATTGTTATTTTGACTAGGTTTTTTTTTTGAAATTGCAAAAAAGGGACACCTTTCTCAAATCCACATTTTCTAAGCCCGGGATTGTAATGATGCATTAAGTTAGAAAGCATAATAATAATAATAAATTGAGGTTCTTCGATATTTTTCTCTTTAAAAAAAGACGTTTTTTCAAAAACCAAAACCTTACAATTTAAGATAGAGTCCAAATTTATCAACAAACAAAAAAAGATATAGAGCCCAAATGGAAGATAGTCCAAACACTATAGACCGGCCCAGTCGCCCCAGCCTAATTCTGCCTTCTAAAGGTCTATTGGTGCGAGCCTATCAATCATTCTTCTCTATTTTCTTTTCTTTCTTTCTTTCTTTTTTTTGTATTCCATACGAGAAAAATAAAAGAAAAAATGTGAAGTTTTTTAGTTAGGATTTGCAGAAAAGTCCTATGTTTTTTTATTCAGCATTATTCTGCAAGTTTTGTAATATCAAAGTTTTTTGTAATATTTATTTTGCATGTTAAATTTAAGTAGTTTAATTATTACTATGTTTATTTAAATATACTTCATCCGTTCAAAGAATAATATCACAATTCACTATTTAAAAAATCATGAATAATTATATTTATTTGTACATTTCTTTTCATTTATTTGATAAAATAACATATTCTTGTCACTTTTTATTTCGAAGAATTTTGACATATTTTTTAAATATATAAATTTTATTTTTTTAGTTCTATATCAATCTTTAAATAAAATCAATTAACAAAGTTAATTTTTTTTTTTGCTTTGTATAATGTGCCAAACATTTTGGTACGGAAAGAGTACAGTATTAGAGACTTGAATTAAAAGAAACCTCTCTGAAATAAATACAAAAATATGAAAATATATACTAAAGTAAAAATTCTAAGTCTTTTAAAATCAAAATAAGAGTATAACGATAGTGTGGTGTAATAATTTTGACAAGGTGATAAAAGTGATGACAGAGTAATATGAAAGTTTTGTCACTGATCAGTCAAGTGCCGTTGGGCACCAGTCAACGCCCACGATTGGCGGCGACGAATGGCAGAGTGACAGTTGCAGCGTGACAATGTCGTGAGTGTGGCAGTGTAACAATAGCAATATTAATTCTGATTTTGGTCTTAAAATAACTAGGATTGCTTTTCTAGTCTTTTCATAATTTTTCTTCTTATCAAGAGAGCTCCCCTTCAATTAATCAAAGTATAAAAGTGGGTATGTATCATAAAAATAATTATTTGGGATTGTTTAAATTAATTTATTTAATATAGTTGATTACCTTATTGAGATTAACTATGGGATAGAATGATAGATTAATTCTGAAAAATGTTGATGCTAAAGGCCACCGTCAAATAATCTTTTTAAAACGCTAATGCTAATAACGTCAAACATGTCCTTCGCTTAATTTATATTTCTGATTTATTAATTAATTATTAGAAAATTTTTAACCTTCTGAACAAGTATCTCAACATGTTTTTAGCATTAGCTAACTCTATTACAATCCAATATTGTTCCTTTATATTTTTTCTAATCTATTAGAGCATAAAGAGTTACTGTCTCGACCAAGATTCGAACTTGCAAGCTCCCATTTAAGAAAGATAGAGTGATGTTAGGGATAACTAAATATTCTTTTTTGTAATTGTTTGCTAAAAGTATAACAATTTTGATTAAAAAAAAGTCAAAATATGATAATTTATAAAACAGAAAGATGAAAAATGCTCGGTTCATTAACAAAATCATCACAAATCTCACAAACTTAATATTTTTGAGCTTCAATAAAATATATAAAATAGTTCTAAAAAAATTAAATTGAGAATTCAAACCATAAATGATAAATTGGTAAATTTTGTTACTATTTTATTTGTAAATCTAGCATTGTTCCGAAAAGATTACTCGGGTATAACGGAGTATGAGATTTCTTATTTAGAGGGGGAGGGGCACTCATGGGTACTGCCCAAGCACGAGCCAATTTTATTATGTCATTTCATTTCTATCATCAAGTGCCTATATACTATAAAATCACTTAAAGCACCTATTAACAGGTATTCTAAAATATTTACTCCTTTCGTCCCGGAAAACATGCAAGTTTTGATTTTGAAGAGGGATTTAAGGGGAATGTATTTTGGTATTGAATTTCCAAAAATGTCCTTTGATGTGATGGGTAAAAGTATGATTTGATGGATAGATTATTAGTAAAAAGGTATGATGTGATACGTGAAGTATGAAAAAGTAAGGAGTAAATGTGACTTTTTAATAGAAATGAGAAGTGTTTTTTGAGACGGATAAAAAAAGAAAGGAGAAAAGTTTTTAGGGACGGAGGGTGTATTTTTTTAAAATTTAAAGTAAATTAAACAATTAATTATAACCCATCATGTTATAATTCGGATACAAAATTTATATGGTAAAGATTTGTTTGTGGCATCCTACTCACATACTACCTCCGTCCCAAAGTATTTGTCCACTTTCATTTTTACACACCGTCCAATACACTTCTTTAATCTATTTTATCTTGTAATTTGTATATTAAAAAATTATAGAAATTATATATTAATAATCTATATGTTAAGACAAATCAAACAAGATCACACATGATTATATTTAGGCTTACACATTGAGAAAATTTGATGAGTCAAAGTGCTTAGATGAACAGTTTCAAAAGTCAAAACTGGACGAATACTTCGGGACGGAGGGAGTAGGTGGGAGTGATTTTACTTTGTGGGTTTAGAAACCCATGAAGGTGTCCCTTCCTCCCTTAAAAGACACATGTTACTTTGACTTTGGAGGAAAAATACGTCCAATCACAAAAGCCATATGCACGTGACGAATTCTTTTCGTTTGAAAAAGTTCTTTTTCTCGGGAGAACATCAATCCTATACGGAGTATATTTTTTCAGTGCCATAAAATTGTTTTTATTTTGATTTTTAAAAATTAAAATTACATGTTTACATAGTATTATTTACTCGTATATGGTTAAGTTTTGTAAATTTTCTTTCCTTATTTTTGTTTGTTTTGATAAAATGATATATTCATGTCACCACTAAATTTGTAAATCATTTGATATAGTTTTTAAATATATAATTTTTTGTTCTTAGTTCTATATTCTGTACCATTTTTTATAAAAATGATTTGAAAATAAGTTCAGTCAAATATCATAAATTAAAATAGACAATTCAAATTAGACTAGATGAATATTTTGTCAAGGACTCATTCAACCAAAAGCTCAAGCTTGTAGTTGTGGCCCAGAAACAATTATTTATATTCTTACACACCCCCTCATGTGCAGACGTAGTTTTTTTCGAGCCTTGCACGTGAAACTTTAATTTTTTTTTTAAATTGGGTGGCGTTGAATTTCGAACCCGTGATCTCTTAGTCAACGAGTCTCTGATACCATGTCAAGGAACTCATTCAACCAAAAGCTCAAGCTTGTGATTGTGGCCCAGAAACAGTCATTTATATTCTAACATATTTTTATATTGAAATTGGATTTTTGTCAATTTTCGCATGCCTACTTGAAATGAGTGCATGGTAGCGTATTGTTACTTGTTAGTGGGCTTGTAGATGGGCTGATGCATACTCGGGTCGTACACAATATAAAAAGTTTTGTTTTTATTTCTTCCAAAATATTTTTAATTAAATCGTCCGTGTAAAATTATGGTATTTTTTATAAAGAGTCACTCCCTAATTTAAATATTCGTTTTAGTCCCTTTAAAAGTCTTTTTTCTTTCAATTCTGTTTTTAAATTATTAAATACTCCGCTTACAATTATCTTATTCTTTTTATTCAAGATTTACTTAATTACAAGATCAAAATTAATGAAATATTTTTAAATACTTAATCAAATAACTACATATTTACAAATTTATTAAAAATTTTCTAAATTGATATTTTAATTTTTAGTAAAAACATTTTTTACTAAATTAATACCGGATTTCTTCTTAGTATAATTTGTCAAATTCATGATTTTTAGCAAAATTCTTACACTCACCATCTCGTACTATTTCTGTTATTTTTTTAGGGTGGTTATTTGTGTAATGATAGTAAAGATACTCATTAAAAATAGTCCCGATATTAATTTAGCTAAATACTTTTTATTAAAAAGTATTACTTTAGAAAAAATTTAAACAAATTTTTCGTAACATAGTTAATTATTCGATTCGGATTTGAAAAATACTTTAATTTAATTCCTTTTATATTATTCTTAAGTTTATAATGACTAAAAAGAATATGTTAATCTTGTATAGAGTATTAAATAATTTTAAAAAGAGGAAGAACATACGAAAAGAACTTTAGAGGTACTAAAAACATAATTTATAAGTTTTACAAAGATCAAAATATATATCTAAATTATGGGAGGACTGTTTGCTAAAATAGTGATTTTACATGGACAATTTAATTGAAAAATATTTTGGAGTAATGAAGGTTTAATTGTGTGCGTTTCCATTAAACAATAAGGGGATAAATATACATGTACAAGTGGGCCTGATCATCTAAGTTAATGATACTGGGCCGGATGCAAATAAACAAAGAGTAAATTCTCAAAATAGTCCTCTGTAATAAGGAGTTTTCCCAAATTAGTCATCAATAAGTTTTAATTACCTACGTGGTCCTCTATAATTGAGATTTATTCCCGAAATAGTCCTTTGTAATAAGGAATTTTCCCAAATCAGTCATCAATAAGTTTAATTATCTATGTGGTCTTTTGTAATTGAGATTTATTCCCAAAATGGTCCTTCGTAAATAATTTTACTCAAATGAGGATTAATTGAGGGTATTTTTTATCCGCTAAATTTAGAATTAATTCTTAAAATAATTATTTATAATGAAGTGTTTTCCCAAAATGGTTTTTCTAATTAAAGATGTGTATCTGATTTGAAATTTAAAAGATTTTTTTAAACACTTCAACATTGATAACAAGTTAACAACCATGTGAATATGGTGTATTTTGGAATATAACAAAAAAAACTCTGAAATATTATTGATAACAACCATGTGAATATGGTCTTGAGAAGTGTTTTAAATAGAAAAAAATTGCACTAAATAGGATTGAAACATAAGTCATTCCCAGATTTAAACTTTTTATTCCTTAAATAAGACTTAATAATGTCTAGTGAGAAAAATAATGTCCAGCGATGATGAACATTTACTTTAATAATGACTAATGGATATTGACCAATGATCTCACATTAAGAAATAAAAACATATGATATTATATGGAGAAAGTCATTATATTTTAGACCTATTTAGGTAAATTTCCCTTTTAAATATTATTGTTATTACCCACAACAAGTTTGGGGATGAATCTACCGAAAAAAGGATAAAACTAGAAATAGAAAAGCAATAATATTTGTAGAGACAAAGTTTATTTCTACAACATATTTTGCTGCAAGACTGAAGAGTAAACTAAAGCTATATCTTTGTCCATCACATGATCAAAGGTTTGGTAAACACTCAACATTTATTTTCTATGTTCCAAAAAATTCTCCCCACAAAAAAAGAAAACGCCCAAGAGTGTGACACATCAATGCTTATTAGCTTCTACACTTGCAGCAAATTCAGATCACAGAGAAAATTAAATTATCAATCAATGCTGACAATTTTATATATTAATTAAGAAGATATATAATAGGAATTGATCATGAAAAAAACAATGCAACCTTTGAGTTTTCTATAAATTGATAACGTCGTTCAGTTTTTTCTGCAACGCCTGGAGATCAATCCCTTTCTCCTCATAACTAACCTGTAACGTAACCATAATATAATTAATACTCATATTTATTTATTTGAATAAAAAGGTAGTAATACTCTTGGATGTAATTAATTTATATTGGTCACGAAAAATTGATCAAACCCTAAGTTTGTGTCTACGTTTCATATAGCTTGAGTATGACATACTCCCTCCGTCCCATAAAACCTTTCTCCTTTCTTTTTTCATCCGTCCCAAAAAACACTTCTCATTTCTATTAAAAAGTCACTTTTACCCCCTTACTTTTTCATACCCTACCTATCACATCATATCTTTTTACTAATAATTTATCTATCAAATCATACTTTTACCCATCACATCAAAGGACATTTTTGGAAATTCAATATCAAAATACACTCCCCTTAAATCCCTCTTCAAAATCAAAACTACCATGTTTTCCGGGACAGAGGGAGTATTTTATATGGTAGAGTTAGACGCATTTCTTCTTGGTACATCATGACAAACGTTTACTCTCACTGTTCTAGAATTAACTTCTCAATTCGACCTTCGTGGGTCAAACTTTTTCAACTTTCACTGCATATTACTGAAAAAGTCCATTGAATTTTCACATAAATTTAGTTCTAATAGATGAAGAATTTACTTAAATAGTACTAAAATATAGTGACTTTCCCAATATATTATCATATTTTTTTATTTTTCAGTTTAGTATCACTGTTCAATGACTGTTCAATGTCTGCTGGTCATTCTTTAATATTACAGTTGAAAATGAACATTCTCTTGATTCAAAATGCATATTTGTCGGGCGTACATAGTTTTATGTATACTCGGGTGTATGGAATACATATAAGCAATTTGATTGTCAACCAAAAACTTAATCCGATGTTAGAATCCAAAATCAGAAAATATACTTGTATACTTTGTATATAATAATAATAATAATAATAATAATAATAATAATAATAATAATAATAATAATAATAATAATAATAATAATAATAATAATAATAATAAAACTCACGGATTCTATTAGAGATGAGTAAAGTGTTGCAAAGTACTCGTGCAATCTAACACAAATATAAAACTTTGAAAGATTTACTTCTTTTTTCCCAAAATAGAGGGACTGGGTTTCATGATGGTTATTTAATTTTTTCCCAATTTAATTATTTAAAACTAGATAAAAAAAACAAAATAAGAGATGTCATATTTATATTATTTGAACAAATTATCAACAAAATATATGTAAAAAAAGAAGAAACAACCTGACTTATATAAATAGTGATTATATGTCAAGAAACCAACTCTTCCTTGTAGAGAGTGTGTTATTTTCTTTCACTTGAGACTTACATGTGTATATTATTTTTACAAAAACTGATACGTATCGAATTTGTGAACTAGCTTTAGGGGAATAAGACTCTAATCCTATGTCAAAGAACAAACTCAAACCAAAACTCAATCATACCATTGTAGCTCAAAGAAAGATTTTACAATCTAATAAGTTGTGTCTTTAATTTTGAGACAGGGAGAAGATTAAAATATCCTATACTTCCTCCGTCTAAAATGATCTTCTCAGTTCGGTTTATGATGTTTGACTAAAATTACTTTAAAATTATTAAAAATTATATATTTTAGAACTATTTTTATTTAGCTATAACAAAAAGTTAATGTGGAAAAATCAAAATTCGAGAAACACTCAATAATTTAAAAAGAAAAAGTTAATAATGAATAATTAGTACCGACCTGGGACTGAAGGCAATGAAGCAACCTATTATCAGCCCTAGTAGAACCGCAGCTGACCACATCAACCCCTTCCTTTTGCAGCGTCCCCACCACTCTCGACAGTGCAAATCCTCCCCTCTCGCCGCCGCCGCCGCCGGCGTCACAGTTGATCAGAACCTCAACCCCGTTCCGGCAACCGCTGACCGATACGAAATTCCCCGCGGCTCGGGTCTTATCTGCTGATGAGCTTCCCCCCTTCTTCTCAGAACCACGACAAGGACTCCGAATTGCCGCCGCGGCCGCCGCCGTCTTTAGCCTCTCCCTCTTCCTCCCCAAATCCTGAACGTTTTTCTGCATCTGTTTTATGTAATTCAACGCCTCGTGCATGTGATCGGATGTAGAGCGCTTTCCCTGTATCAATATATGGATCAAAATTTATTTATAAGCTAAAAATTGTTTATAAACAATAAAATTACCTTTACGTATTCGAGAGGGAGGAGAGAGCGGAGGGAAGCGTAGAGGGTGGCCATTTCTTGGCGGCGCTGCCGCTCGATTTCCCGGTGCATAATTCTCTTGAGCTTGCTGCTGTCGTCCGTGGCGGCGGCAGCGGCGGCGGCAAAGTCATCGGCGCAAGATTCCGGTAGGATCATTCGATCTCCTTGTTGCGGCTTCCGGGAGGAAGCGGCGGCGGAGGAGGGATGGCCGCGGCGGCCGGTGGCGGCAAGTGGCGGGGCATAGCTGCAAGGATTGTTAGTAATAATAATATTGTTGTAATCGAAAAAGGGATCTTGATGAGAGGGGATCTTGGGTTGGTTGGGATTAGAGAGAATTTGGAACAACAAATCGTCACTACGAAACATGGCTCCGACCAAATCGTGAAAACCTCAGTGGATTTTTTTTTGTTATTTATAGTATGTTTTGAGGTTGTAAAATGGCATTAACAGTAGGTACAATAATAATAATAATTGCTAAAAAATACCGATATGATGATAGGGCTGTCTGTTGGAGGAGGATTGGGGAGATCTCTAGAATGGGCCGTTAATTAATTTGTGTACTCCATATAGAATTGCACTGTTGACATAAACAAGACGACGTACTTAATTATCCATTCGTCCTTAAATGTTTGACATACTCCATATTTCGCAAAGCAAAGTGAATATTAAATTTTGTTCAATTCACTTTATTTAAAATTGGTAAAGAAATAAAAATAAAATTTACATATTTAAAATCTAAATGAAAAATTCTTTAAAATAAGATATATCAAAAATATTTTAATTTATCAAATACTTAATGAAAACTAGAACAAATAAAAGTTTTCGTAATAGTTGAACAAAAATATAGCATTGGGATGGATAGAGGAATTGATTTTATTCATCATGGATCTATCCCCACCCCAATAATTTCACAACGGATGTTCGTCAAATTATATTACCCCCTGCAACAATATGTTTCTCCTTTTGAATTGGTACGAACATTAAGAAAAATTTAAAGGTATACAGACTTTCAATATTTGTTTTTTATATGATAGAATAAACTGAACAATGTAGATAAAAAGTGAAAGAATTATAACACATTCTTTATAAGTTTTTTTTGTCAAACTATGAATCAAGAAAGAAACTTGTGAACGGCCTACAAAATGTAAAAAAATTAGAGGAAAAGAGTATTTGGCCAAAATATAAAAAAAGGAAATTGTTATTGGAGTACATATATTTATTATTTGTTAATATGTATTATTATTTTCGATTATTGGGCCGTGTATTAGGGCCTTGTGAATGTGTACATACTCACTTTGGAATTGGAATTAATGAAAACAAGTCATTCACTCCCGATCCATGGTATTGAAGTCTTATATATTGGTTAAGAGGTCACGTGTTTCACACTACCAAGTTTTAGAAAATTTAACTTGTATGTGCAAGACTTGAAAAAACTGCATATTTTATAAACCACAATCACGAGTTTTTTTGTTGAATTGTTTGTTTTTTGGTGCATGGTAAACAATTTAGTCTAGGATACAAGCATGGTTGGCATTAATTAATGATGCATGCACGCATTAAACGTTTTCTAAAAATGATTTATTTTTAAAATAGTAATTATTGAATATTCATTTGTATCTGCAGAAACGGATTTCACATTAGTTTTTTTCATATTGTCAAGCCATATTTTTTTGTTATATAATTTTATTGGTCAATTTAAATATATAAAATATATTTTTAAAAATTAACTAATTTTTATATAAATTAAATTGAAATTAAATTTAATCTATATTAAACCCGAACCATAATTCTTCTTGTAGGTTCGAACTCGTCACCTCATTTTTTGGAGAGTCAGCTAATGCCGCAAGACCACAAGATGTTTATAAGTTTATTAAGTATTCTCTAAAAAATTTCTTGATGTCTAAATAAAGTAACCTTTGTGTTAAAAAAAAGTAACCTTTTGTTTGGAAGGTTTTTTTTCCAGTAACTTTAATTAGATAGGGGAGATCAGTAATTTTAATTGGTATGGGACTTTACTGAATTCTGACTCTTATTAATGGTTTCCGACTTTCTGCTGCCACACCATCCGCACTGTATTATCCCCTTTAATATTTGCAAGCTAAGATAATGTAAAATAAATGCAATTTTTTTTGGTTCTCGAAAAGAGAATAATTGGACCTATTCACTTTGTACTTGGTCTATAGTTGACACATACAGTACTAATCTTTAACTTTTTTTGTAGTTAGTTACACACTTATAGTACTCGTAAGAGGACTGGTAATAAGTTTGAAGCCCCGGGGCTTCAAACTTTCTCTCTCTGCCACGTCAGCTTTAACTTACACCCAAAATTCACTTGAAATGGGTTTGAAGCCCCGGGGCTTCAAAATTGGGCTTCAAACCTTCATTTTTTACATTTTTAAATATACATCTTCTAAAATTAAATTAATAAAATGTACTTAATTTGTTATTAAATTAAATTGAAACACGAATAATAAAAAAACACATTAATTAAATAAAAAAAAGCGACAATAATTTTAAAAAAAAAAGATACATTAATAAAAAAAACTAAGGTAAATTATATTTCTCCTTGATCTCTCTCATTCTTTGCTCGTAGATAATTCGTCCAAACTCCGACAACGTCCCGGGGTCGGTTTGCATGACTTTCATCTCGGCCTCCTGCTTCTTTAGCTTCAACTCCTTCTCTTTAAGCTTCAACCTCTCTTGTTCTTGGAGATTGAACGCCCGAAGTTGTTCAATCATTGCCCGGCCGATTTCGTCGCGGGGAGAAGCGAAAACAGAGGCGGACCCTCCCGAACCAGAGGCAATGGATTTTGCCTTCTTTCTTCCGATCGGCAGTGGAATGGGGTCCTCGTCATCGGAATCCGCAACGTTGAAGGGAGGGATTTGATCGGTAGAACCGATAGTCTCGTCGACCTCAACCTCAGCGGCGACGGTGGATCTTTTCCGCAATGATCCGCCGTCGGGATTGTTGAGTTGTTGCCACTTCGGGGAACGACTCAAAATCCCCCAAAGATCGATGGGCACCTTGCCTTGGTTCCCGTCGTCTTGATACCGGGTCGTGGCAAGCCGGAGAACATCGGCGTCGTTCATGCCGCTCCTCCGGGACCGGGAGCATTCCTCGTATACTCCCATAAACTTTCGTACTTTTTTGTTGATGTGGCTCCATTTGGAAGTGAGTTGGTC